AAAGCATTGCAGGTCACCCTGGACAAAGATCAAACGTCGCCACGCACACACCTTGGTGTGCATGGCAAGCCTGGTCTCTCTCTCCCGCTCAGCAACGCCTCGCTGGAGCCACGTCTCTTCCATCGCTCCGGAAAACCCCATCAGAAAAGAAAAAACTCTTTCACACCGAGTTTGCCCAGGACAGCAGCTTTCCGGTACGATGCTCCTGCAACTCCGGCCACTGCTGGATCCTGGCCTTCAGGATGTCTTTGGTGGCTTTGAGACCACGGCGGGTCCCCTTGAGGATCCTGAGGCCGTGGGACTCTTCCAGACAGACCTGAATGTAGGCATGGCCAGCTGGGATTCCCAGCATCTCGCCTTTCTTCAGCAGAACAGCCCAGCCATGATCCTGGCACTCATCCAGCCACGTCTGGCTCTCGTACTCGCACACGGTCTGGCAGAAGCTGCCGAAGTTCTTGAGGCCTTCATCTGGCAAAGGCCTGCCGATGCAAAGGCATGCCCCTTCCAAGATCACCTTGAACTCCGCCAGGCCGTAGTCGGTGGAGTAGAAGACCTTGTGGGTCTTCTTGCCGAAGGACCAAAAGCAGGGTGTGAAGACCTCGCCGAGGAGGGGATCCACGTCCGTGCTCACGGATGTGAATTCATCTTCTGCTGTTTTTCCCACGACGTGGGCCCAAGCCTTCATGATCTTCGTCGCAATGGAGCTCTTGGCCACAAGGGCCAAGGACACCTGGGCCTTGGCCTTGTCCTTGCTCCAGCTGTCATAGACCCAGTCTTTCTGCTGACTGAAGTAAGTCAGGCTGCAGACCTCATCGACGAAGGCTTTTGTCTGTGCTGCGGTGACACGCAGGCACTGCGACCCATTGCCCTGGCACAGCCAGTCGTGGACATTGAAGCTTTCATTGGCCAAATTGAAAACCTCGGACACCTCCTGCCCGGCATGCAAGGCCCCGGCATAGCTGGTGAGGATCTCCTCGCCCAGCTTCGTATCAGTTCCCGCAGGAGGGCCGCTAAGCTTCGCTTTCTTGTTCTCATCCTTGCTGCTGTCCTTCTTTGTCTTTTTCGTGCTTCCAACCCTTTTCTTGAACTGGTTCACCCAGGTCCGGAAGCCGCCCAAGAACTTCTTCAGATCGGCGGCGGCTTGGGTGGTCGAGACATCCTTCACTGCCTTGCACACCCGAATGTAGAGTGTGTTCCAATGCCGAGCCAGCTCCTCCAGGTCCGTCGGGCCAACCGCTGTCCCATCTTGCTTGATTTTCCTTAGAGTCATCACACACCCGCTGTTCAGGGTTTAGGCTTTAAGGTTTTTTTTAGGGTTTAGGGTTTACGGTTTAGAGTGTCTTAGTTTCAAGGAACGCAGGGGTGAGGCCTCCAGCAATAATCAAATGGAACTCAAAAGGCTGTGCATCGCTGCTGCTCCTGCAGCTGAATTCCTATCACACACAATCAACACACAAGTCATGGGCATCGGAAAGTCAGGCTGTTCATGTCTACGTGTGTATATACATATGCATGTAAAATATGTGCGCCGGCATGAACACTAAGGCCTCCCTTGTGAGATCATGCTTGCGACTTGCACAGATTCCCGTGTAAGGTCACTGACTTCAGCCCCCCAGCAGACACGTTAGCTCAATGTCCTGCTGTCATACGCCCCGGGCAGAGCGAGTTGGCTTTAAGGGGCTGCTCCAGCACGGCAAGACATGATCGGCCCCAGACACGGCCAGAGTCTGTGCGGGGTGGCATTTAAACAGCCCGTGCCATGCCTCCGCTAGGTAAGGCCAACATATGGACGAAAATCGGAACAAGCAGAGCTATGGTACGCATACGGCATGCATGAATGTATGCATGTGTGTGTGCATCTGTCTATATCTGTGTCTCTGGTGTGTGGTGTGCAAAGGCTTGAACACAAGACAAAAGGCAATCACAGGATGGTGACGTGTCGATAAAGATGGTTGTGGTTGTTGGCAAAGGAGAACTCTGAACACGAAGTGACAAAATGCCGACTTCTTTCCAAGACAACTCCAGGATCTCCCACTGGAACCTTCAGCAGTGTACTCCTCGAGTGCTTACTGGGTTTTCCGATGGGATCCGTGGAGGATTGCTTTAGGATTGAAGCCGGGACAACCCTCACGAGTCAACTCCCTCGGCTCACGATTGCAACACAAAAAGATCTGTAATGAGCCAAGTGTCTCAATCTTCTCCATCACCTCCCGCTTCAGCTCGGAGATCAGCCGTTCGAAGTCCTGGGCTTTGATCTGCAGCTCTTGCTTGCCACTCTCATCCGCCTCTATTCCGGATTCTTTGATGTCTGCAGTCATGCCCGTGTAGGCATTGCGACTTTTCATCAGCCACGCATTCACCGTTGTCTCCGCTCTCTCCAATGCCTGCTGGTACTGCAGCTTTTCGAGGGTGGCAGAAGCAAGCTTGGGCTTCTCTTCCTGGGCCGCTTTTCGCCTCGCATCGGCGAGCTCGGCTTCCTCGAAGAGACGGGCCTCCATTGCCCTGCGGTTTGTGGCCGCCTCCTCCATGTCAGACACGACATTGAGGAGTTGGCTTTCCTGCCTTGTGTTGTTTGCACTGCTCACAAGACGGTCGGCCGAAAGGAGGTTCTCTCCTCGCTCGAGCCTGCCACGGGAGATCTCCTGGAACCTCTCCAGGTCTTCCTTTGCCAAGAGATCCATCCTCTGCTTCACGGAGGCGGACAGCTCGTGCTGCGACCCCAAGCGGTCTTCGCAGCCTGTCCACTCCTTCAACAAGAGCTCGCCTCGCACAACCTTCGTGATTGCGCCGGGCTTCGAGGTCTCTGACCTCCACAACCTGGGCAGCTCTTCGGGCTTTGCTCCTGTCAGCAACACCTCCCTCGCCGCCCAGTCCTTGTACCGGAACCACCTGTCCACGTCCTGTTGGCTTTCCAGCCTCTTCTTCGCTTCAGTCAAGGCCCCGACCGCCGTCTCGAAGGTTCGCTTGCGGTTTCCGCCGCTCTCGGCCCTTTCCTCTTTCTGTTTTTTGTACCAAGCCACCTTCTCCTCACTGCTCATTTTGCTCAGCGACAGGGTCACCTTCTCAGCGCTCAACCTCGCTTCTTTTTCCTTTTCCGTTTCCCCCTTTTTGTCCTTACTCTTGCGGCACCTTTGGAGCCACCTGTCAGTGGCGGAACATTCCCCGCAGACACGCCTTAGGGCGTTCCGCCCACTGGCATGACTATTCTCAAGTGTCACCTCCTCGTTGCATTTTATGCATCGAATGTCTGTCTCCGTCATGCCTGCTGCTAGAAAGCTGAGGGACCTAAGGGACCTGCTGCGAGAAAAGGGGACTCGGTCTCCAAGCCACGGGGGATGGAGTGAGGAATCCAGGAAAGGGACCCTTGTTTCGAGGGGACTCGGTCTCCAAGCAAGCTCTGAAGCTTCGCCGAGGAGTGAGGAATCCAGGAAAGGGACTGTTGTTTCAAGGGTGGTGACTCGGTTTCCAAGCCACGCACTAAAGGTTGGCCAAGGAGTGAGGAATCCAGGAAAGGGACCCTTGTTTCGAGGGGACTCGGTCTCCAAGCCTTGGGCAAAAACAGCTGCGACCAACCAACATGTACTCGAGAATCGCACAAACGGTCTTCGCAAGAATCACCCATGAATATCATCCACTCCAAGGCATCGCTGTCTGCAAGTTTCGGTGCTGTCTTTTTGCCTTTTAAGCTCTGAGTCTGTGGTCGATTTCCACAAACTAGCACAAGGTTCTCGCAATGCTAATTTCATGCCTATGCATCCGAAATTAAAGAAAAAATAATTTGCTGAGCTATATTCTCCGAAGCTTCTTGAAAGCTTGAGTTCCAGCATCTGCAACACGGCACAGGGTTGCTATCTCATTCGCCTGCAAGGGGGCTTGCTGGTTGCTGCTTTGCATTTTTCCAGCATCAAGTGCAGCCTGACACAAAGGCTGCATCATCATGGCCAAAGCCAATGTGTGAAACGCATTGCCGGTGGCTTTCACACAGTCGGAGGATCTGTAGAAATCATAATACAACTCACGGCTGTGCCCCTGCAACACAAGTCTCTCTTGAGCGGTCAACGGCCGGTGGAACTCCTGCTCCCACCATTCCTGATCTAGGTCAGCTGTGGACAACACGAACAGCCTACCACCTGAGCTTCGCAAAGCCGGGCAAACATCCCGATAATATCGAGAACCGTACTTGTTGCCAGGTGCTCTGTCTATTTCCAGGACCGCAATCTCAAAGCCGTGGCCGTGAAGCAAATCTTGCTTCACGAAACCTTTGTATCTTTGCAGATTGTGCTGCTGCTTTGCAGACAGCAAACCGGGATCCGTGTTGCCAATGCCTTGCATCAACAAGGACCTCAAGCTGGGCTTGGGACAGCCTGCCAACTTCCACGGATCCCGCACGGGTTGAGGGATTATGTTCTGTTTGCAACAATCTCGGCGAAGCCCACGCAACCACACCCTGGACCTGGAATGGGGGAACACAGCCTGGAGGTCCTGCTTGACATAATCCACAACAAACCACGGAAGGGCCGCCGACAAGTATTGCATAACATCCCTTAAGAAAGCAGACTTGGCCAGCAATGATGAATTTTCCACCAGGAAAAACAACAAGGAGCCTTTGTGTGCATAATGCACGATCATGCTGATCACCTGCAAATAAACCAAACTCCTGTCGTCGTATTCACCCCCTCGCTTGCCACTGGGACTCCAAGGCTGACATGGTGGTCCTGCCACCAGCACTTCGACGTCACTCTCAAGATCGTTGCAATTTATGAAGTTGATGTCACCAGCTTCGTCCAGATGCATGGACTGGGCACGTGTTCCCAGATGCTTCCTCCAAAACGCACCTAAAGCTGCATCAAACTCGTAGCAATCCTCGGGGGACCAAACTAATCCGACGCTGTCACATATGGCTTTCCAGGCACTTATTCCAGCACAAGGCTCGCAAACAACCAGCCTCCTGTCCAGTCCAACCAGAGGCCCGACCAAGCCGTGCAAGGCCGAAGCCACAGCAGAGCTCATGGCCGGTGGACGTGGCCCAGCCCAACACTTGCTAGCTCCGTTCTTGAACACAGACGACCCTGGCAGAGAACATTTGGGCCATGTCGTCAATAAACCCTCCTGGCCACATCGTCTGGACCACTCGAGCAGCAAGCCCATTTTCTCCCCAGAGGAAGCCAATAAAGCAAAAAACACACATTTCATAGACAGACTTCAGAGTCATCCTGTAGCAAGCTGCAGCAGGCCATGCTGGATGCCACCAGGGCCTGCCGGCTTGCTACAGGCTGGCCAGTGCACATATCATAGACAGACTTCAGAGTCAGCCTGTGGCAAGCCAAGCAGGCCATCATCACATATTCTCCCCAGAGGAAGCCAATGAAGCAAAA